TCAATCCAGCTCATCGAGGGTCTTCCTCTCTTGTGCTGTCCCTTCACCCTCTCAAACATGATGTCTCTCTCCAGCAACTGGTCCCTTCTTGCAACATGTCCAAAGTACATCAGATGGAGCTTCAGAATCCCTGCCTCTAAGGAGCATCCTGGTTTCACCCTCTACAAGATGAACCTGTTTGTTCTCCTAGAAGTCCATGGTGTATACTATACTATTCCCAGCACCACCGCTCAAAGGCATCAATTCTCCTTCTATCATCCCTAGTCATTGTCCAGCTTTCTGATACATAGCAAGTAATTGCAAAGACTACGGCCTGAATCAGGGGCCCTTTTGTCTATGGACTGACATTGTTGCTTTTCTGTACTTTGGAGAGGTTTCTGATAGCAGTCTTTCCCAACACAATTTGATTTTTTATTTCCTGGCTGCTGGTACCAAGAGTGTTTAGCCAAGCAAACTAAAGCTGTTAACAATCTCAATTTTTTTCACCAATCAAGATGCTGCCAGTCGGCTCAGTGGTGAGAATATTTGTTTTCTTTACATTGAGCTTCAATCCATATTGAAGTGTTGTGGGATACCCATCCTTCTCAATGTTAGCAATGCTTTGTTATGATCCAATCAAATGCATTTGCATCATCAATAAAACAAAAATAGATATTTTTCTGTATTCTCTCTTTCATCCAGGACTCATTTGACATCATCAGTGATATTCCTGGTGCCACAGCCTCTTCTAAAGCCAGCTTAAACTTATGATAATTCCCTATCACTGGACTGCTGTAACCATTTTTGAATGATCTTCAACAATATTTTGATTGCCTGAGATATTAATGATATTGTTTGAGAATTTCCGCATTTTGTTGGATTACCTTTCTTGGGCCTGGGGGCAAATATGGGTCTCTCTTCCTATCAGTTAGCCACGTAACTCTCCTACAAATTTCTTGGATAAAATGGTGAACACGTCTAGGATTGCATGTCTTAGTTGAAACATGTCAGTTGGTTTGTCATCAATTTTTGTAGGCTTATTTTTTTGTTAATGCCTTCAGTGCAGCTTGAACTTCATCCTTTATTATCATTGACCCTTGTTCATATGGGACTTTCTAAAATTTTTCAGTATCAATGAATTCTTTAACAGTGATTCTCTGTATTCCTTCAGTCTTCTTTTGATGCTTCCTACATCATTGATGAGTGTGCCTGTAACATCTTTCAGTATTGTTATTTGAGACTTGAATTTATTTTTTAATTATTTCAGCTTTAATAGTGCCAAGTGAATTCTGCCCTTTTTTATTTTCTTCCTCCACCTATCTGCAAATTTCATTATATTTTTTCTCTTTATCTTCTCAGGCTGCCCTCTGAAATCATCTGTTCTACTCTTTCACTTCATCATCACTTCCTTTTGTTTGGCCTCTTGACTCAAATGCAATTTTGATAATTTCTTCTGATATTCATTTTGTTTGGGTTTTTTTTTTCTCATCCTTCTTTGTAATTACATTTTCCTCTCATCATGCATGACATTTATGATGCCCTCCCACAGTTCCTCTGGTCTTTGATCATTGGTGTTCAATGCCTCAAACCTGTTCTTGATATGGTTCTTAAATTCAACTGGGATAGACTAAAAAAGTTGAGGTTGTATTTATTTTTATTTTTCATATTATATTTGCATACAAAATTCATATACATTGTGTTTCACACAATCATTCCCATACATTGGGTTTTATAAGCTTAATCTCCATTGAATTATGCCCACCATTACCCCATCTTTCCAGGTCCCTACTGGATCTTTCCAATTCACCTTACCCTTTTCCTTCCCTCCACTAAAATGTACAAACTTACAATTTCCCACCTGCCTATCCTCATCACGCTGCTGTTCCCCTCTTGGATCCCCATACACATTTTACTAGTCATCCTTCCATTTTTACAGTAATGGTTTTATGAAGTATTTGTCATTGTGAGACTCTGCTCACTCAGAATAATGCTCTCCAATTTCTTCCAAGTTATGAAGTATTCTTTTTCTAAATCGTTGCTCCTGAGTGCTGCATAGTATTCCATCACGTGAATGGACCACAATTTCTCGATTCATTCAGTTTTAGTTGTACATTTGAATTGTTTCCATGTTCTAGTAATTGTGAATGCTGCTGCTGCTATGAACATTGGCGCACAAATATCTGTGTTTCAGTTCTAATTTCCTTGAAGTATATTCCTAGCAGTGGAATAGCTGGGTCATATGGAGTTTCTATGCTTAGCTTATTGAGGAAATGGCAAACTGCCTTCCAAAGTGGTTGTACCACTTTGCAATCCCATCAACGGGGTATGAGAGTTCCTCTCTCTCCACATCCTCTTCAACATGTATTGATGGTATCCTCTTACAATTGCCACTGCTACTGGGCCAAAATGGTATCTCATTGTGGTCTTTGTTTGCGTGTTTCTTTCCTTTTTCTTTTAATTCTTTTATTATTATTAATAATTTCCGTGAATATCTACAGAGATTTTGGAATTCCATTCATTCATTGTTGCACTTTTCTCCCCACCCACCCCACTCCGTCCCCCAGTTCGCGCCTATCTTTGACAAGCAAAAGACAAACTCCTTCATTGGTACACAATCCCCTCCCCCACCAGTGATTTTGAGCATTTCCTCATATGTATGTTGGCTATCCGAATGTCTTCCTCTATGGAAAGTCTTTCCGTATCTTTTGCCCAATTTTTAATTGTATTATCCGTCTTTTTTCTTATGGAGGCCCTATAGCCTTCTGTAAACTATTATGATATCTTTGTCTGAAATGGTATTGCCATTTCCTGGCAGTAGGTTTTAATTTCACCCTTTTGGAAAAAGGTTTTGTTACCTAGCTCTCTAGTTCTGTAAAGTAATGTTCCTTCTCTTGACCACATTCACTCCTCACTCTCCCAGTCAACGTAGGATACGACACAACACTCTCTCTGACTCCAAAGGAGAACAGACCTTGTTGAACTCCCTCTCGAACTTTTCCATGCTGCCATCCACCCTCACAGCTGCTGCCAATGTGGCTGCTGTGTGTCAGTCTTAAAGGCTACTCTCTCACACAGCAGTCTCTGCTCCAAAAGACTCACTACACTACACTCACAGCTACTTCTTTCTTGATGATAAGAAGATTTCCATTCTCTGCCTCTGAAACTACTCAAGTCCAGAGAGATGTCAAAATTGATCAATGGGTTGGTGGTGATGGTGCGTTCCATTGAGTCAAAATCAGCCCATAGCTAACCCTTCAGCTGGTTTTCTGAGGCAGTTAATTAACAGTTAATTAACAGGAAGAGATTGCCAGTTCATTCTTCTCCTGTGGAGCTGCTAGTGGATTCCAACTCTGTGCCTTTGGGATTGCAGTGGAGCTTCTTACCACCAGGCCACTAGAGCTCCTTTTACTCACTTTGTTGTTGTTGTTCTTGTTGTTGTGTACCTTCCAGTCAGAACAAACCCATAGCTGCCCCGCTGGTGGGTTTTCAGAGGCAGTTAATCTCGCAGGAACAAGTTGTCCATCCTTCTCTAATGGAGCACCTGGTGGATTCGAACTGCGCACCTTCAGGATTGTAGTGCAAAGTCAAAGTTATTCCTGCCAGACTCATGGCTGACCCTCCAACATGTTTTCAGAGATTGTAATTCCTGTGGGAGGCAATTGTTAATCTTTCTCCCATTGAGAAACTGATAAATTCTGGCTGCCAGCGAGGCATGACCTTTCTGCTAGCCTCACAGTTCTCTGCAGACAATACAACTGGAATTGTTTAATATGAAGAACACAGCGTCGGTATTGGAGGAGCACTTAATAACAACATGCCATATGTAGATAAAACAACCTTGCTTGATTAAAATGAAGAGGACTTGAAGCACTTTATTAATGAAGATCAAAGATTAGAACCTTCGGTATGAATTACACCTCAACAACAAGAAAACAAAAATCTTCACAACAGGAGAAATAAGCAGCATTGTGATAAAGAGCAAAAAATATTGACTTTGTCAGGAATTTCATTTTGCTTAGATCTACATTCACCACTCACAGAAGCTGTGATTAAGAAACGAAATGGTATATTATAGTGGACAAATCTGCTGCAGAAGATCTATCAAAGTATAAAAGGCAAAGATGTATCTTTGAGAACAAACATGTGCCCCACCTAAGCCATGGTGTTACCAGCTGCCTCATCTGCATGTGAAAACGACAAGACTGAAATAGAATTGATGGTTTTGAATTATGGTGTTAATGAAGTTTAAGGAATAAGCCACAGCTGCCAGAAGAAGCAAATGCCGCTTAGCTTGGACATGTTACAGGGGTGATTAGTACAGGTGTGACGAGGACGTCAAGCTCAAATCCATTGTCCTTGAGTCTGAACTCGCATGCAGTTGGGCCTCCATCAGTTTTTTGGAGCCTTGAAATCTCATGGGAGGAGATTGCTCATCTTTGTCTCGCAGAGTCTCTTAGCACAACAGGCATCACTGATAGAATTCTTTTTTTGATTCATGTACATTGTTTTATATATTTGATTACGATTTATCTATGCCTCTTATCACCCCATTTCTTCAGGTACCCATTGCATTGTTCTTTCACTTTCAATGTCCCCCATTGGCCCACTAACCGCTTGCTGGTGGCTTACCCCCTTCCTTCTTTCTTATTGGCAATGCAAATTTTGTCTTTTCAGCCCCTGAATTATGCTACATGTCTGTCTGTCTCTCTTTTCTCATTTTACCATTTACCTGAAGAAGGTTTGATCCACTTCTTTAAGTGTATTTCTTCCTTTTGAGGCAGAGACACCATGCTTTATTTAATGGGCCTCTAAACGAATACCAGTCAAACCTTGGATGAAGGCATTGCATTGTCCTGTTTGTTACCCTTGGCTGTATTAACTGCCTCTCTGTTTTCCAGCAGGAACACCCATGGCAAACTACGTTTCACAGGGAGATGGTGGTGAGGAACAGATGCTGAATGCCATTTTTGCATGTGGCATTTTTATATACTAATTTGCAAAATTTGTTTTACCCCCTGCAGCTGTAAATGAAAAAGCTGTAAAACTAAATGAAACTCTGGGAGCTCAAGACAAGACTTTTGAGAGAAATCTGCAAGATCTTCAGAAAGAGATTGATCAGATGATGGCAGAACTGAGGAGGAAAAATTTAGATACACAAAAGGAAGTGGCTGAAGATGAGTTGGTGTGAGTAGATACTCCATTAATTTTCCTCTCTGAATGAGCCAGGCTTTCTCAATTGTTACTTAATATTTTCTAATATTTCCAGGCTTTCTCAATTGTTACTTAATATTTTCTAAATTTTCCCTTATACATACGAACAGATTTATTACTTATTTATGTTTTATCTTACTATGAAATGAATTATAGCATGGCATCCACTTCCATAAATAGCTTGCCTCCAGAAACCCTATGAACCTGGAGAAGGGA